ATTACCATAGAAAGAGAATTGTACACTGTATACCTGGGCAATGTAAATACATTACAATATACATACACTATTTCAGAAATATTTTTAAAATACAGTTTCCTATTCTAGCTCCTTCTCTAAGTCTAAACACAGCAAATCCCCCCCCCCAAATGCTATCAACAAACCCCAAAGACCAAGACTGTAAGGTTAAACAGAAAGGACCAAGTCATTTTCCTCTGTAGCGGCTGTAAACACAGGCTACGCACAATTAAAATAACGTGGAAAGGTAAGTGCCACAATAATACAAAAAGGTGATTTTTTTTCTTTCCTTACCTCTTAATTTTTTTATTACAGGCTTTGAAACAAATGCCACAAGGCCACAACGTAACACCCTAATTATCTTAGAGTACATACAACATCTTTCAACATGAAACCAAATTCATAGTATTTTGTTTGAAGTTCTGCATCATTTCTAATTTTTCTTTCACATTACTATTCTGTATTCTCTTTAAAAAATAAACAGAAATATGAATAAAATACTTAATAAGAATAATTGCAACAACCAAAAGATGTAAAATATATTAATAGACCATGTAGAGGTTCTGATTTTTATGACAAACTTTTGAAAATTATCATCACATTTATGCAGATTTTGAATAGGAAAGTTTATTTTAACAATAGCTCCTAAAAAAATTATTTCAATAAGTGATTCACGAGATCAAACCTAGCAATGAGATTCTCAACAGATACGGATGTTTCAAAAAATGTAATAGCATTTAAGAAACAGAAAACAACTTTAAAAATGAGTTTCCAACTAATCTAGTAATAAGCTCAGAAACTTTAGGCTTAGAAAACGTCCTGAAATTCTGACAACCGTCTTCGATGCAGAGATGAAGACAAGTGTTTGTCAGTGTTGAACGAAGTCAGCCTTTAGAAATGTGTCCCGAGAGCTCAGTGGAACAAAGCACCTGCTTAGACAGACGCAGGGCAGGCCAGCCCCACCCCTGGGCAGCTGACACTGGGCGCCATGGCGCGCCCCTGTAATCCGAGCCCTTGGGAGGCTGAAAACAGGAGAATCACTACTGGTCGGATCTGTGTAGTGAGATCCTGTAGACCCTGCACTGAAAACAACAACAACGACAACAACAAAGAAGAAATGTGTCCCAGCTGAAGCTGACAATACAGAGCATAGAGCAGGAGGCCTCGGCCAGCACATGGTCCTGAGAGGGAGCCAGGTCCTACAGAAAATGACTAAGTGAAATGTCACTGTCACAAGAACTGGACAATATGACACATCAATCAAGTGGCAAGGTCACAGGCCAGAACAGTGAGCCAGTAATTCAGATTTGTAAAGATTAGTTCATGCTCGCTGACAGGAACTATCAGCTGACAAGACCTGGGCCTGGGAATAATCTGCTCAGAGCCGCAAATGAGGGCCGCATCCTGGTGCCAGAAAGAATTCATCCTCCCACCCTGGGATGACCTTGGAGTTGAAAGCAAATGCGCTTGCTTTCATCAGGTTCCCCCCACCCCCCACCCGGGGATTGAACTCAGGCCCTTGTGTTTGCCAGGCAAGCGCTTATTCTACTGAGCCACCTCCCCAGCCCTACATCA